ATCAGGGCCTCCCACGTGGGACACACACTGCCACAGCCTCGAACACTCTTGTGTGTATGCACACACACAATTACAGTCTCTCTCTCACACACACACACACACACACACACACACAGACTCCCTCACACACGTTCACTCAAAACAATCATGGTCTCACATATGGATACCATCACACACTCAGAATAGTCAATCTTCCACACAAACACCGTCACACACCTCCAGAAACTCAGAGTTTCCCCAGTCACCCTCAGCCTCTCACACCCCCACACCCGGCAGTGGGAAATACACTGATCCAATCATCACACACTCAGAATAGTCACATCATGCTGGGACCTCAGGCTGCTGAGGCCACACTTGCAGGGAGGGGAATAAAGCCCAGGGTGACCTAAGGGAGGAAGGGAAAAAGAAGACGGAAACTTTGCTGGTCCCTAAAAAGTGAGAAAATAGGCGACTATTCCCTATGCAGCTCCTTTTTCCCCTGACGCCGCTTTCTAAGGCATTAGGGAATGAGGGGCGATCCAGGCCAGACAGGAGGGGTGAGGGAGCCCCTGTGTATGACAGAAAGCAGCACTGGGAGCAGCAGGAGCCAGAAAATCCCAGGAACCAGCCCACTCCCTAGGCCCCCACCTCCTCCCCTCCTCACTCTTCTTCTCAGGATGAGGAACAGCAGCAGCTCTCAGCCTAATCACCTGCTGTGTGACCCCAGGACTCTTTGAAACCTCTCTGTGCCCACAACTCCCTAAAGGGCACCCAAATGTCAGGCCTGGCTGCAGGAGGGGGAGGGGAGGGGAAGCAGGCACAGGAGGGGAGGAGGCAGGACCTGGGCCTCAGCGCTGACCTGCCAAAGCCCTGTCATCACTTGTTAGGCCCAAAGAGAGGTAGGGGCCAATACCAAGCAGCAGGCAGGCAGGAAGCTGGAGGACTGGAGGGTGGGGATGCTCCTCTAACTAACCACTGAGGACAAGAGTCCTAAAGTGTCCTTGGACCCTGCAGCACAGACCCCCCACCCCAGGGCCCCTTGGAAACTGTGTCGCAGTCCAGGCAGAATAAAATTCAGGCTGTGCTGGCCAGGACCCAACCAGGGAATAATTGGCAATGTTGTTGACATTTTCACTACTTGCCACTCCTGGTGTAGCTGGGGCCCCGATGCCCCCATCCTAAAGGAAGCCTGACAGGGCTCCATGGGAGCCATCCAGGGAGCAAAGCACGCCAAGCACCCGGCAGCAGGGCCTGAGGAAACCAGGCAGGGCAATCCCATAAAGCCAGGTGATGGGGACTTATGGAAACAAATCAGTTGGGACAAAAGAAACCAGGCAGCAGGATCCAAGGAAACCAGGTGGGCTGGGGGTGGGGGGCAGGGGGACTAGGCAGCAGGGCCTAAGGAAATCAGCTGACTAGGCTCAAAAGAAGGTAGGCTGTAGGGGCCAAATGGAACCTGTCAGTGGAGGCTGAAGTTAGCTAGGAGGTGAGGACAAATGAAGCCAGGCGGCGGGGATCAAATGAAACCAGGCAAGAGGCCCACAGGATGTGAGAAAAGAAAGGTATCAGGAGCTCATCCCCTCAGTCTAGATATCACCCCCACACCCTGGGCCTCTCTCTCAGTAGCCCCCTCCCACCCACCCGGTGGTCCCCTCCCCCAGGCCGCCGGACACAGCCAGAGCCCCCTCCCCTCCAAGAGGCCTGGTCCAATTGCAGCCAATGGGCCCCGGCCCCATCCCTGGGACCTCAGGAAGTCCCAGTCCCTCCCACCGGCTGCAGAGGCAGGGGGGATTGGGGGGAGAGAAAGAGAAGAGAAGAGAGACAGCTTGGCAGGGGGAGCGCGCCGAGCAGCCGCGGGGGGCGGGGGCCGAGAAAGGAGCGGGAAGCGCCGAGGCGGGCTGGCGGGCGAGCGCGGGCCGGGACGTCACGGCGGCGGCGGCGCAGGGGGACTAGAACCCCGGCCCTGCGGCCTCGCGGCCACTGACCTGGGTCCCCACGCAGGCGCCCGTCGGTGCCTCCGGCGCTCCGTGGGTCCGCCTGGCCGCCCGCGGGCATCGGGTGCCCGGGGCTTGGGACTGGGGCTGGAGGTAGGAGCGGGGCCCTGCGAGTCCCAGCAAGCAGGCGGACTAGGAGCCGGACCACGCCGGGAGCGACGCGGGCCAAGCCGCGAGCGAGGCAGCGAGCGAGCCGGGAGGAGGGAGGAAGCAGCGCGCCGCGAGCGAACGAGCGAGCGAGCGAGCGGAGGGAGCGAGTGAGGGACGGCATGCAGTGAGGTCATCCTTTGAATCTAATTGTCTGAGTCTGGAGGAGATGTGGCACTTGATGCGAGGGGAGGGGAGGAGGAAGGGACCCTCCCGGCTCTGGGGCCGGGGCCCCTCCTCACACCCAGGGGCGGCCGGGGGCCCTCCATTCCCTGGCAGATAAGTCCGCTCAGGCCGACGCGAGCAGACCCCTGCTGTCTCAGGGCTGACCTCTACTGCCTGGGGGTACCAGTCTCAGCTCTCAGCCACCCTCTTACTTTCTAGGGGTGATGGGGAACCTCCCCATCCAGGCCCAGGTCAGCTTCCTCCAGGTTGGGTGGTAAGTGGAAGTCCCCAACCCATCCCAGGTCATATTCCTACCCTCCTAGGATAAAGGGGGAAGTTCAACCAGCCTTCCAAGTTACTATCTTCATGCACTTTAGGAGCATGGAGTCCCCAACTCTATTCCTCAAGTCACTTCCTGAACTGAGAATTTGGGGTGAATTTGGTCACTGAACCCTAGTTCACCGTCCCACCCTCTAGGAACAACAGCGCAAGGCTACCCAGTCCTGTAGTTACTATCTGCACTTTGAGGGGCATAAGGAACCCCAAATAACCCTGAGGTCTCCCAATTCTGCATGCCCAATCCATCAGGAGGGGCAGAAGCAGGGCCAGGCTCCTAGGGTCCCCAGGGGCAGACCAGGCTGCCCAGATGGTGGGGGATATGCCAGCAGCTGGGCCCTGGGCCTGTTGGGTGTGCACACCCCCGTGAATGCACACATAAGCACCCGCACACATGTGCACATGCACACGGGGGAAGGGGGCACTAGACAGCTGGGGATTCTCACACCGATAGCCACACACCCCTCCCCTCACCCCTGCGGAGGAGGGGTGATAAATATTTAAGGGGCTTTTAGCTCTGAAGGGGCTGAAGCTGGGGGAGGGAGGGGGATCCACGCTGACTGATTAATGGGGTTACGGGCTTGGATCAATCCATCCGCCAGCAGCTCCCTCCTCCCTTCTCCTCCCTCCCTCCGCCTAATGCGCTTTATCAGGAGACGCTTTTCTGACTTGGCAGCGTCGGGCGTTTTAAATAGACCCATTTAGAGCCGGGGTTGGGGGGGAGAGATGGAGGGGGAGGGAGACAGAGATTGAGACGGGCTGGGAGACAGAGACGAATCGAGAGAGAGACAGGCCCCGGAAGAGAGAGACGGAGAAGGTGTAGAGACACAGAGATAAGAAACTGAGGGCGAGCCTCCCCGGAGACTGAGATGGAGAGAGAGTGCGTAACAGGAGGCCAAAGGAAAGCTGGAGGGCCAAGGGGTAGAAACAAACAAACAAAAAAAAGAGGCAGAGAGAGAGGAAAGGAGCCACCCTCAGCGGAGAGAGCCCCAGAGAGAGGCTCTCTGCAAGGGCTGAGTGCTAGCCTGGGAGATAGCGGATATCTTTTATTTCCAAAAACAGTTTTTCATCCACTTTGTTAAATTAAAAAGCTGTTTTAAAGTGGTGGTGGAGGTGTTGCTGGGGGAGGGGTGGACAACTGTCAAGTCCTCCCTCCACAGCAGCCTCCTCCTCAACCCCCACAGAAGCTGCCTCAGCCTGAGCCCCCAGAGGGTTCTGCAGCTCCCCTGCTCTCTCTGATCCGCAGGGATTCCCTGGGACAGGGTCAGGGCATCTGAGCTACTGTTCACTGGCAGGAAGTCCTTCCTGCTGTCTGGCCTTAGTCCCTTTTGCTGCAGGGAGTCCATTCTCTAGTCTGACCACTAGCCTTCTCTCTAGCTCCTGTCCCAGCTCCCTAAGGCATTCCCAACTTTGGAGGAGGATTATGGAATAGCGGGAGGGGAAACAGGATGCCCTCATAGCTCAGCAGTCCATTTTCCCAATGAGCCATCAGACTTCTCCCAGGTGTGTCCTCTATAAATATTTATTATATGTTACTGTTCAAATCCACTTGTAAGCCCCATCCTAATCTGAATTTCCATCAGATACCCCATCCCGTCTTTGGGTCTTCCGGACACAGTGAGGTAGAAGCTTAACTCTCCGTAGCCCTCTGGGGCCTCCTTTCTTCCTCTCCAGGGCCCCAGCCTGATCTTAAGCCTATTTTCTTGCCAAGTGTCAGCCAGGGGTACCCCATCCCGCCCTCAACATACCCCAGGCCTAGTTCTGAAGGGTCAGCCCCCTCTCCAGGCCAGGAAAATGGCCAGTCTGTTTGGGAGCTGAGATGAAAAGCCCAGGCTGGCCTTTGTGGGCCTCTGGCGGGTTTTGGACAATAGGCCCTTCCGTTCCGCTTCAGTGCCTCAATTGCTTAGACGCCCCACCCCCGGGCTGCCAATCCCTGGGCCTTGCCTGGCCTGAATGAGAGGCAGGGAGAGTCAGGCTTTGCCCCACAGCTGGCCTCAGAAGACTTTGGACTTTCCGACCCCCCATCCCGTCTCCCTTAAGCCCAGCCGCCCGCCCCACCCACCCCAATCAAACCAGAGAGATGCTTCTGAGGCAGAGAGAGGGCCTGAAGACACTGGGACAGAAACATCCCACCACACCCAGGGTTCAGCCTCCCTCAGAGCAGAACCCAGCTTCCTGACCTGGCTTTGCCCTTGTTTGTGTGAGTGTGGGTAAGTCTCTTCCCCTCTCTGGGCCTATCCTGGGGGCAGAAGGAGGAAGGACAGGGGAACAGAAGGAAGGGAACTCAAGTTCCCCTTCACTCCTGTCCCCCAGACCTACAGCCCAAACCTGCCTCATACCCGGAGATGAACCTGCCCTGCCTGGGCCCCCAGCTCCTACCTCTTCACCACGGACTGCACACTGAGAGCATCAAGTCTTCCTCCTTCTCCAGACCAAACTCTTCCTGGGACTTCCAGAACCAAGGAGGTAGGATGAAGTGACAAGGCTGGATTCTGGAAGGGCAAAGGGCACAAATCAGAGGTCACAGAGGAGCCACAGGCCTTGGTCCAACTCAGAGCTCATTCCACACTTGCATCCCTACTGTGAAAGGGGGAGACTGAGGCAGGCAGCAGGTCAGTGCCTGAAGAGGAAAAGTTGAGAGTAACCCAGACTCCCTCCAGCGCCCCTTGCTGACTTGAGGTTCTGAACCGTAGGGACAAAGGGAGGCCACAAGTCAACAGCCTGACACCACACACAGATACACACACTCATACAAACCCACAGACAATTCAAAATCTACACAACCAGTTCTAGCACAGAGACACAGAGCCACAGGCAGGGGATAAACACCCATGGCATACCATTCTCCTCCTTTTCCTCATCCCCACCATGATTTACTGAGCACCTGTCATGTGCCGGGAACTGGGCTGGGTACTTTATATTCACTATCTCATTTAATCCTCATGTTTCTTCATGAGGTAGGTTCCATTATTATTCCCATTTGACAGCTGAGGAAACTGAGGTTCTGAGAGGTTAAGTAACTTGCCCAAGATCACAGAGCTGGTCAGTTCGAGAGTCCAGATTTGAGCCCAGGCTAGCCCCAAAGCCTTTCTCCTATACCAGCTGGCCTCTGCAGATCTCTCGCCTGCCTGTATGATGCCTTTCCCAGTAGTAACGGCAGCTAACACTTGCTCAGAGCCAGACACCATGAAAGCACGTAACATACATTTTTGTCCTGAATCATGAAAACAACCTGAGGAAAATGAGGCTCAGAATGCAAAAAAGCAGTTTGCCCAAAGTCATACAATTAATAGTTGGTAGGAGAGCTGGCCTTGAACTCAAGGATATCTTGAAAGCAACAGTTGCTTCTATGGACTCCAGTCACTCAACAGACCCCCCCCCCCGCCACCCCGCTGCAACCTTCTACAAGACCCCAGAAATCCTCAAAGTCCAACTGCCCTCCCCTCAAACAAGTCTTTGATGTGTCTGTCAAAGGTGTGATCAGGTGTCCAGATGATCACTCATGAGAAACGGACTCCATGTCATCTCAATCCTGCCCAGAGATGCAGAGAGCCCACCAACCAGGGAGAGATGGACAGAAACTAAGACAAGGTGCTACAGACAGGCTGGCCAATGGTGACAGATACAGACACACCAAGACACAGGCCCAAAGAGAGACAGAAGGGAAGGCAGAGACAAAGAGATATACATCTGGCCAACGTGCCAACGTGCACAGAGACACATATCCATCAGACCGTCACAAGAAAAAAAACTGGAAAGCAAGCAAGGCTTAGGGTGTGTGCATGTGTGTGCGCGCGCGCGCGTGCGCACGGGGGGGGGGGGTGCACGCAGAGTCTGTATCGCTACACACATTACACCAGCTGCTTCCAGCAATTTCATCTGATTAATAATAAATGCCTCATAATTACAGTCGCTCCCCCAGCCCTTCTTCCTGTTTTTTGTCAGCTGCCGCCAGGCTAGCCCCCCATGGACCCCATGGACCCCTCCATCCTCACCTGAGGCCTTCTAGGAGGCTGAGAGGACATGGGCTGATGGGGGAACTCAGACTCCCAATCTGAAGGGGGAATACCCATCTCTCTATCTTGGATTAATGCCCTCTACCTCCAAGCATAGCATCTCACTTAGGTCTCACCCAGAATTCTCTCTCCCATCCTGGGTATAACCTGTGACCCCCAAGAGGCCCAGACTGGGATGCAGGGAGCTGAACCCTCCCTTGCCCACCCTTTACCACTCACTGGCTGAAAGAAGTCTCCACCCACAAACTTTGCCTAGCCTTGGAACCACATAGCTTCAAAGGAGGAAGGGATCAGCACAAGGTCCCCCACCCCATCATTCCAACCCTAGGCAGCCCCAGAGTCTCTGCTACTTGGGTACCCTCCAGCTTTGGAGACTTGGTGGCTGCACGCCCCCTCCCCATTCCTGAGCCCCCCAGGTCTACCTCCTTCCAGGCCTCCCACCCTAGCTCTCCAAGGCAGCTCTATCAGAATCAGCTGCGGGTTTGTGCTGATCTGTTTCTAATCGCTGGGGCCTGGTTCACGCTTGTGTCCGCCCCCCCCCAATATTGATTCCATTATTTGGAGAGTCATTGACGTCAGGGGCCTGGATGGGTGCCAAAACCGCCTTCTCTCCAGGCCTGGGCTGGGGCCCAGCCCCCCCACCCTACAATTCACGGAGAGGCCCAGAAAGGTCAGCTCAGGGGCCAAGGTCACACGGCATCTGCCCTCAGTGGCTGGGCTCCTCTTGTCTTTTCGGAACCACCATGAAGCTCCCTTCCCTGGGGAAAGGGGCTGCACATAGGTCTGGGGGGCAGAAGTGCGGTGGGGGCCTGTATAAGGGGGACTGCAAGAATCTCACCGGGACTCTGGCTGCATGGAAGGGCTCTAGAGAGGTAGGGATGGGGAGGCAGTGGCACAGAAAAGGATACTTAGGGTGGGTTTTGTTTTCTTTGCCATACGCTTATTTTGGAATATCCTGAAGTTGGACTTGAAATGGTTACTACTGACAACTCGATTTTTACGTCTGATATCAGATGCATCTACTGACTTTCTAAGAAGGAACTTAAGATCGGCAGTGCAGGACAAGAGATTACCCCACATGTTGCCACGATTTTACTAACAGGCACACTCATTTGATAAACCCTTGCTCTATAAATCTCTGCTGCTGTTTCTACATCTGTCTCCTGTGCATCTCTTCCCCATTCTGCCTCAGTTTCCCCACACCCACATGCTCTTCCAGTCTCTCCTGGCTCTGAGTGCGTGTCTCTCCCTGTCTCTCTCTCCCTGATTCTATCCAACCAAGATGCAGCCACTGCTATACACCAGCAACTCCTGGGCTCTGGCCGGACAGGGTATTTTTAGGATCCAAAGCCCGTGTTCTCAGACAGACATTAATAACCAATACAGACAGTCTGTGGTGCCTGCAGCAGCTACGCGGCCTCAAAGCCAAGCCCTTGGAAGCCCAGAGATGGGGGTCCATTCCCTCAGCTAGAGTCCAAGAAACCCAGACCTACAAAGAGCAAGGGACAGGCTCATGACCACATGGGGAGAAAAGGACTTCCCTACTTTCTAAAAAATCCTGAAGCTGGGGAGAGGACAGAGATGACCTCCAACCTCTGCCACAAAACTAGGGCCACTGCCCTGCCCCAGACTCCCCTAATTCAGACCTTTCCAAGGAAGAAGGCACCTACCCTCTGTACTCCTTTCCTAAGAACAGGGAAGTCCTTCTTGTAGTCTAGCCTGCAAACCACTCAGGGTTCTCTGGAACAAATAGGGGTGTGCAACAGGGGCTGCTGGGCCTCCAGCCATGAGCCCCAGAGGGTTCCCTCTCCCCGTGATCTGTCCCACTCAACAACTCATTCCTCAACACTGACTGAGCACCTACTCCCTTCCAGGCACGGTGCTGGGAGGACTCAGCCTGATGGGAGAGGAAAGGATGTATCGTATCGTTAGTGCCACACTGCCCTCCTACTGTGTATCGGGTCTGCACCAGGGCAGGAGGTCCAGTGGTGAGCAGGAAAGACCCTGTCCCTGGTTCCCACAGAGCTCACAAGCCACTACTCCGCAACTTTGCTGAGTGTTGTGAGGGGAAAGTAAGGTCGGGTATGGTGGGGCATACAGACTGCCCCCGTTCTGGAGAAACCTGTCCTCCTGCAGGGTTGGGGACTCTTCAGCCCATTCCTAAACCTCAGTAAGGTTGCAGGAGGAGGCCAGACGGCCCTAACACTGACCAGAAGTCACCCCTGTAGTCTAACTTCAGTTCCTCCCGCTGAGGCCCCAGCCCCAACTTCTGGGAGCTGATTCTCCACAGCCCCGGTGCTTCCCCTACATCTGCTCCAGCTTCTCCTCCACCCCTGGTCCCCAGAGCTCCTGGCTCCAGCGCCCTCCAACCTAGCATGGCTCTATGCTCTGGGGTCTCTCTTTGCCCTCCGCCAAGGTATAGACGGGCGATGACCTCAGGGCTCTCTGCCCACAGGGACCACTTGCCTCCCGGGGCCCCTCCCCACAGGAAGTCGGGAGCCCGGTGGGTGTGGTCACCCAGGGCCAAAGGAGTTTACACAGCTGAGGTCTCTCCCTCTCTCCCCACCTGTGGTCGGTCTGGAGGAGGGGTCAGCTCTCTCCTCTCTGCCACCTAGCTCTTCAAGACCCCCCCAAACCAGGCACACATGGTCCCCCCTCCAAACCCATCTGCATTTCAAAGAAAATTCGCTCCATATGTTTCCGATTCATTTACACTTCAACTCGCCATGGCGGGGCAGAGAGCAGGGCGCCTTGCCTCCAAGCCCCCACCCCCATAGGGGGCTGGAGAGCATGTGTCCCCTTCAGGGACAGGGAGCAATTACAGCCCAGTCATCTCAGTCTGAGTGGGGGCTGCAGGGTCAACTCCCTACTGTATGGGCTCCTGTGGGGGACAGTGCACTCCTTGGTGGCAGGAGATGTAAAGCCCAGGGGAGTGTCTCCCAGGCAGGTGGAGTCCCAGGCTGGCTGAGACCTAGGCTCTCTAGAGCCATTGCTCAAGAAGCCCTTCTGGAGAGAAGAGGATATTGGGCAGTGGGGAACCCTGAGCATGCCCAGAACACAAGATAAGGGCTCAAAGGGCATTTTAGGAGACATGGTGAAACATAATACATGCCCCCACCCCTCTCCAGCCAGGAACAGAGTTACCTCCTCCAGCTACCTTCTCACCAAGAATCTGGGGCTTCCACCCTCCTTAGAATCAGAGATTCAACATTCTGGAATGGACCTTGGAGGAGTCACTGGAGTCTGAGGTCTGCTCCCTGTCCCCAGGTCAGTCTTTACACCCCTCCCATCCAAAGGATGACTGGGGGGGGGCATGTCTTGGGAGGACATGGGTCTTATCTCCCTATACATGGCACTCTCTACCAGAGGGATGTTCCAAGACTATTTAAGGGGGATGTGCATTCACATGGCATGTGAGGGACTGTAAGGGTACATGTCACCCCTGTACCAATAAGTCATTCAGATCTTCCTGTTGAGCCCAGTCTCCTTGTGGAAGGAAAGTGTTTCCCACTATCCCCTCCATCAGCCAACAGTCTAAGTGTGGAATGTGACCAAACATGAATCACCTCTCCTCCCCATCTTTGGAGGGAATAGGTTTTGCAGCAGTCTATGTTCCTCACCCAACTGCCCTGATAAACCAAAGGAAAGCAAGAGCGTGAGTACCTGACTACGAGTCCTAAGTTCTACTGGAAGTGTAAACACCATGATCCTAGTGTCGGTCTGAATGTGAGCCCAGGATGGAAATGTAAACCTGAGGGTGAACTCCAGTGTCCCCATGTGAATCTGAGAGTTCCAAGATGGATGTGTGAGTCTGAGTGTGAACACCAGGCCCCTAGTGTTTGTCTGAGGATGAGCTCCAGGATGTAAATATGAGTTTAAACATGAGCACCAGGGTCTAATGCCAATTTGAGTACGAGCTCCAAGATGCAAGTGTGGATCCGAGTGTGAACCCAGGTCCCAGTGTGCATCTGACTATAAACCCCAGGCTTCCCATGTAAGTCTAAATGTGGGCTTCAGGATTAAAGTGTGAGTCAACTGTGACTCCCAGGATTCCCATATAAGTCAGTGTAAGTAAGCATCAGAGTTCTAATGTAAATCTGAGCATGAGCCCTTGTTCTAATGCTTTCTGAGTATGAGCTGCAGGCTCCCCATGTGCATCTTGGTGTGAGCACTAGGCTCCCTTTCTGAGTCTGACCATGAGTCCCAAAGTCTCCCGTTAGTCTGAGTGTGAATCCTAGTGTAACTTTGAGTGTGAACACCAGGTCCCTAAGTGATCCCAGGATAGAAGAGAGAATCTGAGTGTAAGTAATGTCTCCTAGTGTGAGACTGAGTGTGAGATCCAAGATCCTAATATGAATCTGAGTGTGAGTCCCAGGATATCAAGAGAATCTGAGGCATGAGATCCTGGTATGAGTCTAAGTGTGAGCTTTAGGTTCCCCATGTGAGTTTCACCCTCAGGGTCCCCACATGAATCTAAGTGTGAACCCGAAACACCTAGTATGAATCTGAGCATGAACCCCACGTTCCCCACTGGGACTAAGTGTGGACCCCTGATCTTGGTATGACTCTGAGTATGAGCCCTAGAATGTGAATCTGAGTGTGAGTTTCATTGTCAAGCTGTGATTCTGAGTGTGAGCCTATGAGTCTGAACGTAAATCTCAAGACCATAGTATAAGCTGAAGTGTCCCAGTGTAAATCTGAGCACAAATTCCAGAGAGCCAGGAAACCTTAAGTATAAACTTTAAACTGCTAGTTTTTGTATAAGACCTAGGGTACCAGTTGAAGTATGAACCCTGGCCAAGTGTGAACCTTAGGTCCATCTCACCAGTCCTGACCAGGATCCCCAGGAACCTGCCTAGAGGATTTGTATGGGTTATGACAGTAGAGACAGGGTGGCATGGCTTACTGAGACACACAGGTCCCTCCACCCCCAAGCCCTGACTAGCCCTACATCTATGGGAATATCCAGTTGTTCAAGCCCCATCCCCACACATGCAATGGCACACAATCACACCTAGAGTTAGACAAAAACACACTCAGTGTTTCAGACTCCCTGGACACACAACAATTACAGATGCAAAAACACACCCAGCATTTCAGACTTCCACTACCTCAGTGATTACAGTCACACAAACACCCCCAGTGATACAGACACAAATATACATCAAGTATTACAGGCAAAAGAACTAGTGTGCAGACACTCCTACAGCGGCAGGCAGACACACATCCAGTGTTGCAGACAAGCTGCCAGTCACACCGACACTTCTCAAAGAGAGAGACTAGACGGAAAGAGAAAATCCTGAATTTTCAACAAGGCGTGAAATAGTCCTGCCCGCCCGAAGCTACTGGGGGGGAGGAAGGGGCCAAGAGAGCAAGCGAGCTAGCTAGCCAGCGCGAGAGCTAGACGCTGGAGGAGAGGCTCCAAAGAGGAGAAAGGAGAGAGCAGCCTAGGAGGAGAGGAGAGCTGTCCGTCTGGTGACCTCCCCGCAGCCCAGCCCCCACGCACGGGGAGATACACTACTCCGAGCAACACAGGGACATCCAGGCCAGCTCACACAGAGCTGCACTGGAGAAGACACACACTGGCAGACTCACAAAGAGATACTTGGAGATACACCACAGGCGGACACACAACGCAGGACTTACAACGAGATACACTGGAAGAGACCCACTACAGGGAGATTGATACAGGCGGACTCACGAGGAAACCACAGACAGGCTTACGCCGATACACACACACAGGCGGGTTTACACGGACACACAAGCACTGGCAGACGCACAACCGTCCGTTCACACCCTCGAGCGCTTTGAAGTCCAAATTTCTGCCGGAGGAGGAACCAACCTCCCCAGCTCGGCTCGCGGGGGTCACTGCGACCCTCAGTACCGGAATTTTCCCAAACCCCGCGCGCGGCTGGGGGGCGGGGAAGAACAGAGACGCTCGTGCAATCTGCCTGCCCCCGACACACACAACCGACTGTGCGCCCCCACCACCACGCCCAACCTCCCGCGCGCCTCGACGTGGGGGCCGTTTCTCCCGCGCCCCCGCCCCCGAGTTTGTGGGCGAAGTTTCCCGTGAACTTTCCTGTCCCCCGGGCCAAAGGCCTACGCGTGTCCCTGCCCTCTCCCCGCGCGCACAAGGGCCGCGGGTCTGTCCGACCGCCCGAGGGTGTGAGGTCCAGCCGCGCGCGCGGCTCGCCGCGGGATACTCACCGCGCCCTCAGGCCGCAGTGACTCCGCGCCGTGCCCTCCGACCGCCCCGGGCAGGGAGCAAGGCAGGCAGCGCGGAGCGAGCGCCGCTGCTGGATCCCACTGCCGAGCCCCGCGCCGCACAGGCTGGAGCCGCCGCCTCCGCTGCCGCCGCCGCCGCCAGCTCTGCACCGGCTTCTCGGCGCTCGGCGGCTTTAACCCCCCCATCCTCCTCCCTCCCTCGCGCGCTCCCTCCCTCCTTCTCTCGCCCATGTGACCGCGG